GTTATAAAATGAATAATTGAAGAGATCGATCTAATCCAATTGAAGGAATTCCGACACTTCACTACCTCAAGGTATAGATTCTAATTTCACATTTCAAACATTGAATTTTACTACAAATTGAAGATGATAATTCATCAATTTTTGGAATTGTTGATAATTTTTCCATCTCCCCGTGGATACGACACTCCAAATCTGCACTATAATTACCGCATTATTCTTTGAGCGTAATCATGGATTTATAAAAAAATTATTAATAAAGGGATTTAAAAAGATTTGGATGGATTTCAAGTTTAAAAGTATATCTGATAAATTATTTTGAAATTTCACCATTTTTAATGAGATTGTTATGAATTTTGTAAAAATCTATTCAAATCCACGAAATTCATTATAATTTATAATCCTTTAAAACTCATCAAAATCTCAATTAAGGACATCCTCCTTACCTTTTACATATATAAAGAGTATGTTAAATTCATCTTAATGCCACTCTCTCTAAATACATAGGATGACGTCAAAAAGAGATTTTTGAAGGTGTTCCTATCTATAACTAATTTATAAGTTAGTAGTTATTTATTTATTAGGAATAACTGCAGTAGCGGTCTCAAAATTTTCACTTTTTTTGTAAACTCTATCTCAACCTTCACTTGTGTCATTCACCATCTCAAATCTTTTATTCTATTGCACCGCAAGGACAAATGGATAGACTTGATCGTTAATTGATTTAAAAAATGAAAATTTGACCAAATAAACAAGGGTAAAACAGTAATTTTATATTTGTCTCACATTAAATAATTAAAATAACAAAATAATAAAATAATAAAAAACTCATCTTCTTCCACCTCACCTCTTCCCACCCCACCACTGCCGCCACTACCCCAAATCGCCCAGTGGCTACCGTCGGCCATTGGAATGGAACTTGTTGACCCCAAAAAATGAGCTCAACAGAATTCCCGCCACGTCCCCTCCACGTGGACATCACCTGCACACTAAACACCCCGTTAGGAGGCAAAAACCGTCGGTTAAGAAAAAGGTCCGGCGACCGTTCGCATTCCGACGGTCAAGTCAACGACCGGCCTAAAAATATAAAAAGAGTGCAAGAGACGAGAGAGAGGGGATTNAGTGTAAGAGAGGAAGAGGGGAAGATGACAGGGTTTTAGAACATACCTTAATAATGAAGTGGATTCACGTATATATAGAAAATGAAAATGTAAATGGGCTTGCGGGCCTAAGCCGAGGTCCAAGTCCAAAATAGAGGCTCATGAGGCTTTTCGCCATTACAATATATAAGTGGATGAGGCCCTTCAGTTGAGACTCTTTACACGAGGACCTCCAATCCGAGGCTCCTTTAGGTTGAAGTCCATGCTGTCTTTTAGAGTACTCTTTAAATCAATGTCATGTCGACAATGTGGGACTCTTCATATCATGTGTGTGGCACATATCCTCGGCCTATTGTCTTACTGGGATCTTTGACCCGTTGGGCCTCCTTTTGACTTTTCGTTGACTATCCTATCTACGTGGCGTGCTACGTGACCTTGCTTCTTTAGACCTCGAAATCGAAGGGTAACAGAACTCAAACCAAAAAAAACTTGAACCAAAATGGACCCAAATGACAAAAACTTTTCCACTGCCAGATACCTGAGATGTTTTTCACTGCAAATAAGAGAGGTTCTTCAAAATCCCTACTAAATTGCTCAAATTTAAAGCCAACAAGAGGCACAATGTCCTCCAAAATCCAGTCTTCCCAATCTCTGGTGGTGTCACCATCTCAACTTTTCTTCTCACATTCATAATTGAAATCGTCATTTGCCAACTCACCGTCACCGTCACCGTCACCGTCGCCTCCATCAAACGACGGCGTGACCACTGGCTTCCTCAAATTAATTACAGCAATTGCAACTGATTATAACAAATTAAGGCAATTTCCAATTGCAATTTATTACTGCAAATTACGGGGTTTGAAGATATTGCAATCTAGATCTTAATACAACAAATTACTTAGAGCAAAATTCATATGAAAGTCCTTCCCAAAGCCAAAACTCAGTAACTTCCACTTGTGAATTGCAAATGTAATTGATTGTGCACAAAAAAGTGTGGAGATTTATGTGATTTGAGGAATGTCGGCATACAAAAGCTAAAACATATGATGGATTTTGATGAGATACCAGCTAGCTGGTGGTCGACGGTGGCCTCTGGCCGACAGTGGCCAATGGCTTTCCAGTTTCAATTTGTATGGAGTGGGTGGAATGGTGGGATGGGGTTGAATAAAACGGTGAGTTTTATTTTATTTTTTTAATTATTTAATGCGAGAAAAATGTAAAGTTACTTTTTTACATTTTTAAATTTGGTCAAATTTTCATTTTCTAAGTTAACCGTCTAATGGGTCAATTCCATCCATTTGTTCTTGTAGTGCAACAAAATGAAATGTTTGAAACTATAAGTGGTACAAAGTGAAGGTTGAGGTAAAATTTGTAAAAAAGTGAAAGGTTTGGACCGCTGCCGCAATTACCCCTATTTATTACTCATACAAATAATAAAACTTTAATCATGCTACATGTACACTTCATTTGACATAAAATTTGACATTGTGCCACGCGTTGTGGCATGAGTGAACTGTTTTAAAATAAAATACACTTTCATGTCCATTTGCATTTGAAAATACATGGAGTGTCAAATTCCATGTCAACTAATTAATGTACAAGAAACTTTATTCATAAAACGAATACATTTTAAAAATTCATTTACTTATAAGTGAATTTTTAAGCTTAGCCAAATATGAGATCGAGTCATTTTCATTATTTATTCAAAGGTACAAACTGGACTATAACTTTTTTCTAATATTTCATAAGAATTCGAGAAATAAATTCATATATATCCTAATCCCAGGAACACTTTTACAATACTCAAGAGTTATAATTTTAATTTTAATCCAATCAAGATTTGATCTTGCAAACAGAATAATCAAATTAGCATTTCACTTCTTTGAATACATTGATTCAACCTTGCCATCATTCCCACCAAGCAGCATATATTTATCCTTCCTTGTCAACTGAGTGCATTCAAATCCAAGAGCACCTGCCAAGATTTTCTGTACATGATTCGCCACTTCAAACGACGATTTGCCGCCGCCCTTTACCGTCATCTCCTCCGGCAATCGATCAAGGAACGTGGCCTCATAAGTCGGCCGGGGATTCATGAAGTAGAAATAAGGATCCCAGAATTTGACACCGCGCACGGTGGTGCCGTGGAACATGTTCTCTTTCAGGTTCACCGCCACCGGCACAATCCGATCACTTAATTCAGCAAACAAAGCACTGAATCTCAACAGATAAGGCTCCCGACAGGTGGTTCCCTCCGGGCAAACTACTAGATCGCCCTTCTGAAGGAGTGACTTGATCATGGCGGCGTCGGCTTCCCGGTCACGGGTCAGTGCTACTGCCGGGATCGGCGAGAGAAACCTCGACAACTTGCTTACACTATATGTAACGCATGAGACTTTTCGACGGAGTGAGATAGCGATGATTATAGGATCGAGGGCTGTGCGGTGGTTGCAGACGTAGAGGTTTCCGGGACAACCTGGCGATGGTGGAGGCGGTATCGTGCCTTTGATCACGAGTTTGATTCCCAGCATGGCGTATGTGTAACGGACAATCCTTTCCGGTAAAGGGAGATTGAAGTAAACTCTGATAAGGGAGAGAATGAAACCGAATGGGAGCCAAATGTAGGTGATGAGGGCATTGAACGGAGTTGGGCACTGGACGAAGCGGCCGTCGTGGAAGATTAGGCGGCTTTTCAGGCGGTCAAGTTGCAACGGAGTGGCGGTTTTGCTAGGGTGCACCATGTAACCCTTCTGCAGGAGCACAAAATGCTTATTAATTCGATAAGTTTTTGAGAAGGATTGAAATGAGGAGCTGCCCCAACCCATTTAGATTTTTTATGTTAAAAAAAATATATATATATTTTTATGGAATTTTCTTTATTATATATATATAATCGAAATGCCGTGTACTTAGGATATATTTTCTCAAAGACCATGCTACATGTACCGATTGAAGCATTGTTAGATTGTTTATAAATACAGTTGACAATTTTTATTGGACAAAGACCAAAAAAAAGTGACCAACCAGGTGTTGCGACAGCATCACATGTAACGAATCTAACAAGATTTTATCCATACAAGCAGCAAAATTATTGTCTCAATCACTACATTTATTACATGTTATATAAGTTGTTTAGCTAAACATTGGTAAAAATTCAAGACAAAATCTAGAATTTTTATCGATTTTTCAATCATACATTTATCAAATTAAAACGGTTGAAAAACAAACTCCTAGTGACATATCAATAGATGTAAATTCAAGAAAAGTAAAAAGAGAATTAAGCTAACCTCGCAAATGGACATGAAATCATGATCAGACTCTCTATCTCCGATCCCAAGATCAGGCTTTTCTTCTCCAAATTCCTTCAAAATAGACCCTTTTTTCCACTTTCCCACCAAAACTCCAGGCTTCTTCACAAATCCAGTAGCTCTTTTTGTATTTGGATTCACCTCAATTTCTGTCCCAATAACCTTATCACACCCCAAGAAATCTTTAACAAAGGGCTCAACCATTACTGTTGGATTTGCAGTAATTATAACTTTTCTCTTACATTTATCAAAAACTTCAAAACTTTCTTGCCTCACGTTTGATGCATAGAATCTCGGAAGAACTGCGCGTGAAGCAAGCTCGATATCTCGGATTTTGAGGCCAGAAAAGGAGATGAAAATGAGCATTTGAATGGCTAAGGATTCAGAGATGAAGATGTAGGCTATGGCTATAAGAGGGAATGAGAGGAGGAGGATTAGGCCGCGGAGGAGGCTACCGGCTTCCACGGCCACAAGCATGAAGTAAGGGAAGGAAGAACGGGAGATTAGGAGGGTGCCGTCGAGGTCCGCAGCTATAGAGTGGTGGTTCACAGCGGAGATGTCGCATTTTTCTATTGATGGAAACGTGGCGGTGGCAGTTTTTGGCTTTGGTAGAGACATGGCTCCGTTTTGCTGCAGGCCAAGAAATATCTGTGTTGAATTTTCTATGTAAGCATGTATATATATACACACTAGTGGCGTGGAGTGGAGGAAGGGGCAAACCCAAAAAGAAGTTTGGAGGCGATACCAAAAAATCTGAAAATCTAAAAAATTCTGGAAAAAAAAAACTAAAAAAATCTGAAGAAAAATTGGGAAATTCGAAAATCGAGTGGGGGCGATGGCCCTCACAGGGTCTCATGTAGGTATGCCCCTGGGTGGAGGGCTTTTTCTCAACAATTGAGCTACTTGTACCAAAGTTATTTTACAACTTTGTATAAGAGATTGTTTGGAAGAGATTTTTGTGGGAATAATTGATTTTGAATAGTGATATGATGGGAAATGTGTGGTTGAAAAAGAAGATAAAATTATTGATGTGATAGAAAATATTATTTTATTGAAGAATGTGTTGTTCAAAATGAGAAT